CCCCTGGGGGTGCCCCCGGCGGGCCCCGCAGTGAAAGGGGCCCTCAGTGCCCACAGAGGGGCGGCCGGGTGCCACCGGTCCCTGCTGTGAAATCTCTATCCCCCGGGGGCTGTTCGTGTGGAGCCCGGGGGGGTCACCCGTCCTTTCTTCCGTCCTTTTCCTTGGGGTCCCATGAGGAGCTGGCAGTCTGCTCACGTCCCCGCGCCTGTAGCAGGCCTGGGGCAGGGAGGAAAGCTTTGCGTCTCCCAGTCACAGACGACAACGGTTGCCCTTCTAGGCAGGTACGCTCAGGTGTGCTGTAGCCGTGGGAGCAGCTGCTGTGGGGCAAAAAGCCGCGGCGAGCCCTACAGCGCAGCCAGAAATGGGCGAGGTGTGCCTGCGTGAGGCTCTGCTGGGCAACAGTTTCATGCCCATGTGAGGGCAAGGCCTTGGGACGAGGGTGGTGGTTGTAGGCCTCGGCGGCAGAGGGCACGTGTTGCGCAGCAGGACGGGCTGTGGTAGCTTCAATGGGAGGAAAGGCTGAATGCCTCTCAGCAGCTTTAAGAATGGGAGAGAAAGCATGGGGTTACCGGAGAAAGCAAGGGTCTGGTATGGAGCGTTGCTGTTCCTGTAAGGGTGGGGGGACCTCTGCAATACCACACAACACTGTTGGCTGTGGCAAAGGTTGGGCATGCAGAGGCTCAGCTGCATAACCAGGCATACAGCAGGGGTTTCTGCTCTTCCTGGAAGGTGAGAGGTGGCATAGGTTGGTGTGAAGCTCATGCTCACTCCTCCTAACACTAGCTGTTAGGAGGTTATAACACATAAGAGAGAAGAAATCAAACTTTTTAGCTTAGCATAAAATTGTGGTGGTAGTTGTTTTTTGTTTTTTTTTTTAAATTCCCAATACTATTTTTGTTAATTAGATCCACATTGAAAAGTTGAGAGGCAGGTGGAAGATGTATTTACAACTATTCTTCTGTGATCTCTGTGTGTATAGGAGACCTTCTGGTGTTCATCTCAATTTCTCTAGGAAGAGAGGAGGACGTGCAAATTTTGGGCTTACATGCTGATGTTTCTCTGCCAGTTTCTTGCCTTCTTCCCTGAAACCTTTGCCACTGTGTTTGACAGAGAAGTAGATACTCCCCAAAATAGCCAAGTTTTATGGGTGCAGGTGGGCTGGAAGAGAGATGCTGTAATTGCCCTTCCAGAAAGACAAGGCTGTAGTGTTAGCTTACATCCTATAGGATGTGACAGAATGGATCTGAGAGCAACTTTGGCAATAAATTTGTCAGCTGTGGAAAATACTGTTGTTGGTGCTGTTGAACCAGAAGATACAACCCAATGGATGTTTGGTATTTGAAGTTGTGACGTTCAGTGACAATTCTTTTGTTACTACATGATTGTTCAGTGCTTGTGGAAACAAAATAATTTAAAAATGTGAGTTGTAGTGGTCTGTAATTCAGAAGCAAATAAGGTGAGGAAAACAATGCCCCAACTACAAGACCATGGCCTGGAATTTGGGAGACTCGAATTCAGTTGTGTGCTGTACTCGAGACTTCCAGTGCTTTTGAGCAGATGACCTGATTTCTTTATGCTTCCATTACTAATCTACAAAAGGAAGAAAATGGCTTTATTCTATTTCCAGGAATATTGTGACGATAAATACTTTAAAGGCTTTTTAGGGACTCTGCTTACAGGAGTGGAATTGTGTAAGTACCTAAAACATAGAGTAGAAATACAGAAATGCAAACTTCTGGATTGTTTGCATAATTCCTGACTAATTTCATGATTTTTGGAGCCCTAGTCTTTTGAACAGGGTTGTAGTAATGTTTTTAACTCTGTGTTCACTAGCATGTTATCTTGAACAGTTTCTATTTTTAACAACCAAGCACTTGGATCTTACAAGGAGTGACAGTAATCTTTCTTTTGGCATGGATACATGAATTCTGACTCTTTGTTTTGACTTAACAAGAAATTGTGCGTGTCTTCCTTGTCTGGGAGCTGGGCTGCTGTACCCTTTGCTTCTGCTTCCTTTTGTATTCCTGCAGGATACTTGATGATGAAATCAAGGGCAGGTGGCAGTAGCAAATTATGAAGGTCCTGTCTTAGGCAACAAAACTTTGGAAACAGAAGTTTGTGGAATATCCACAGAGCAGTTCTAAATAAATGTCAAGGCCTGTTTACAATAGAAGGTATTTTTTAATTTAAAAGCTACTTAACAGGCTCTTTGCTAGTTTTATAGATTAATATTTAAAGACTAGGGAAAACGTTATGGAAGGAAAATATTTTACTTTTCAAAAATACATTTCAAATAATTGTCGCTGCTATTTTTATATGTATGTGAATCTTTGTCATGCTGCTGGAAAAAGATAATTTTTTAAAAAAATGGTTTTAAGTATTGCTGCGGAACAGTTACCTGAAACCACTCTTGACTGATTTCTTAATGTTAGCTAAACACTTCCTGCCCTCCTCACTAATTAGAGAATTTTGTTTTTTGTGCAGAAGGATGATTTCAATTAAAATTCCTTTGTAGTACACAGTCAAATTGCAATGATGCATAAATGCTGAAGTACAAGAGTCGCATTTAAATTTTCTCTGTATAGAATCCTGCTTTACCAAACAGCCTTTAAGTCATTCCTTGTTCGTTTGGAATAACTTTTGCTTGTTCACTTAGGTTTTTTTCTTCTGTTGTAGGAAGAGATTTTATTTCTACCCAGAAAGATCTGGCTTGAGCACATTTGTTTTCTTTCATAGTGAGCAAGAGAGAGATTTGGAGTTCTGTCTCTCCTCACCGATACGTAAAAACCAGTATCTACTTCCACATTCATAGTGAGGACAGGCGCTTCCTTGTGTACCTCGCATTTGCTCTGTTAAGACAGGCAAGAGTTTCATCTTCGCATTTTACTAGAAACACTCTTAGGTTTTTTTCACTTTCAATCTAATATTAAGAGAAAAGTTGTCACAATGGCCCAGTATGTTTGTGATCCAGTACGTGACTAAAACTTCTGTTCTGCTGCGTAACTCTCTAACAAGAACAGAAACTTTTCCAGCATAAGAATAACTTTAAGGTGTCCTTTTAGTGGCAGACTCACAAGAACACGCACAAAAGTACTTGCAGCTTTTTCATTTCTGTTTTACCAGTTTCAAATAATTGAATGTTGTGCAGTAGTACGTGTCTTGCGCTGACCACTGATTTCTGTATTTTGAAGTTGGGTCAGGAAATGACCAGTTTCATGTGATAATCCAACACATGGCATAGGCAAATAGAAAGGAAACTGCAGTTGGACTGAAAGTATTCCTATTTTAGAATAATGTCAGTGTTTAAAAACTCAGCTGACTAACAGCTGATGGTTCTGTATGGCATCTTCACTCAATAGAGAAAACACGGCTTTTGTGTGTTTGGGACGGGGCCTGGCTGGGCGCTCCTTTACCTTAGCTTTTCTAATGTTTAGAAAAACTTGTGTCTGGATGCATTTGCCATGTGTACTGCAGTATGTCAGCCATTGAATTTCCTTTGGCATGCATGCCTGTGATGAAGCGGCAGGAGCCAGCACCACTTTTGGAAAGTGGAGCGTTCAAGTCCCATGAATGTCTTTTCTTATGTCTTAAAAACAAAACCAAATTCCAAACCTTCTTTCTGGTTATATAAGGCCCGCTGATTTCTTTATGACGGCAGACCACGTCTGCTTTTGGTCTTTCTTGTGCCACTTTGGTATTTTCCCCTTAGTAGTACACCGCTGTAAAATGTAGCTGCTTCTCCCCATGCCCTCCCTGCCCCCGGTAGATAGTCCTGACTGATGGCGTGATGTTTTATTTTAATGTACTTGGAGAGTGTGTAAGGATATTGGTCTTGATCAACTGTGAGGTTGTGGAATAAAATACATACTCCCTGGAGATCTGAAATCTAATGTAGTAATTTAATGATATTTGTGTATGTGGTTTGGTTTATGGATGTGTGATCACTTATGATAAAGAATAGGTAGAATTTCTAATTGTGCAAATGTTTAGACATTTGAGGGCATGGCAGAACATGGGTAATACTGTATCATCCACTAATGTTTGATCAAGAAATTTTAAAGTTCTCCTTTAGGAAGAGTTGTGTGTGAACATACTTTGTTTAATATTACTTTCCATTTCATCTCATTTTCTTTTGTTCATAGCTTAGGAGGTATTTCTCAACCTTACGTCTCAAATCCTAGCTTTCCTGTTTGATCCTGAGTACACAACAAGTCTGTTTAAGGTTCAAGGAAGTTGCATCTGGATTTCCCGTTCTTTGACTCTGGTTGGAAGTATTAGATGAGCAAATTTACTGAGCTGTCCTGTAGCAATGCCATAAACACTCTTTGGTCTGGCTTTTTTTCACCAGTGTGTAGTATCAAAACTGAATTAGCAATATTTGTAATGTGTTCCCCTCATCTCCTTTCTGAATATAAAATCAGGGGAGAGTATGTGAATAGTTGTAGTTTGGAAACATTGTCTGTATTTGTGTGACAGGTCATTTGCAGATCTGCACATCGGTCCTGGGGAGTTTAGTGAATCTACGTAGTGCAGCAGCATCAGCTCTCTCATCCATTTATATAGTATCTCTCTATGTGCTTATGGTTTTGTACTGTTGTTTTCCTAGGTCTGGATACTCTAAGAAGTGGCATGGTATTTTATGTCTTGGGGTAGTTGTCTGCTGAAGTAGACAAGTGTTGACTTTCTCCCTTGGCTTTGATTCACACGTTTCAGAATGATGCTAGTGCAGCCACTGGCGTTTTTCACAACTCTTTTTCCCTTTTTTTGTGAAATTTGTGGCAGGCTATTTTATAATGGAGCTTCTGATACTTTCTGCTGAAACATTTAGTGCTAGACATAGAAACTGTGTTCGTTAAGTAAATAAATTCCTAATTCTTAAAATAAGATGTAGTGTCATGTGTAATCATGGTAGCTTATATACATTGGGGAGACTTTTTGGCTTGGTTTTTTTGTTTATTTGTTTGTTTTCTTTTTTTAGATTCCAAAGAGCTGTTGGAAAGCTGTAGGAATGCTAAGGTGACAGCACGTTTTCTGAAAAGGCTGGTGGGACAATTGTGTGTGTATTTTGCTCTTTCTACTTGAAAGACCTTGTATACTAAGGATAGTTACAGACTGATGCAGAAACATCTTTGGGTTTACAATAAGAAGTATAACTGTCATAATGCTTTTTGATAGAGGCACATTTTGGTTTTTGTTCACTACAAATTTATTTATTTCAGAGAAATGGCAGAAGAAAGTATATTTCAGAATCTTCTGGAAATCCTGATGAGTGCCTCAAGTGAAATTGAGCAGGCCTACAAGAACTCCTGTGAATTGGTAGATCTAGACACCTGCCTGCTGCTCATAGCAGAGTGTTTCAGATGTCTGAGGAATGCCTGTGTTGAGTGTGCCAAGAATCAACATGTCATGAGGTATAGTTATGATCCATTTTAACCCATATAAAAATATAACCTTCTGATGTTTGTGTGGTTTTATATAGAGATTCTTATTTTACACTGCCGTGTTAGTTGATTTATTAACTGGTATTTCCTGCTTGATGCAATCACTTGAAATGAAGTATGCAAGGAACAAAAATAGCTGACCTATTTGTAGGTCAGAGTTTGGGGCACTGCTGAATAATAGAACAAAGTGTTTGTATCCTTAAGTATGAGTGGATTATGCAAATGATATAAGCCTTTTGGAAGTCTGACTGCAGAACTATCCTTTTTTCTCTTTAATTCCTTTAATTTTTTTGATAATATAATGAGTAAGTAAATAGTCTTAATTATCAGTTACAGGATTAGTATGGGATTTTTTAATGTACGTGTCTGGCAGTCACGGTAAGGTATAGCATGTAGAATTGTGCATGTCAACCCTGATACATGTACAGGTAAACTGATACTAATGGATAATAAGTCAATCTGGCTCCATAAGTTATTCAGGCTTTTTTTTTGTGTGTATCTGTTGCAACATTGAGGGAATGCTTGGGATACAAGCTGCTGTAGTTACTGAAAACCTGGTAGTCTACCTGCTGTTTTTAAAATAAACCACCACCACCACCATCCCCCCTGCCCGAAGAACCCAAAACCAACGAACCAACAAAAAAACCCCAACCTGTTATGAGTTTGTTAGATCATGAAGAATTGTTTTGGAATACAATCTTAAAATTTGGTTTCTTGGGACTTCTCAAAATTGGTTTGTTGAACTAAATAAAATTTTGCCATGGGACAAAGTTCCAGCTTCTGTGATGGGGCAGAATTTTGTTAATGCCATAAAAGATGCAGGATTTTTTGTAGAAGGTATTAATTTTGTAATAAGTTAAATCTCAGTTCAGGCTCTTACCTGTTTGTTCCTGGCAGCACTAGCACTCCTGATCATGTATGTTGTGGGTCAAGGAACTAATCTGAGAGGAAATTTACATACTTGTTTATAAATTTTTGCTGAGTGGGTATTCAGCCAGACTGGGTTCCTTGTTGTAACTTACTGTAGCTCCATAGTCACTTATGTTAACAAAAAGAGGGAAACAGCATCGTGTGGCTGGGAATTGGTAGGATTGCCCTTTTCAGTAGCGTGACAAATACGACCCAGTTATGGGTCCTAATTTTTACTTTCTAACAGAATTCAGATAGCCAACCTGCTTCTGAACAAAAACGTGCTCTGCACTGGTTATACTTGTGCTGCGTAATTACCCTCACTAGGCAGTTAGCACAGCCTTGCTCATTTAGGAAGCTGGATGCTAATAATTGTGCTTTCCTTTAGACTGCAGGAGGTGGTGGAGGACCTGTGTGGATAGAAAGTTCTGACCACGTTTGTAACAGTGAAGGACACTGTGGGTCACTCATCGGATACTGTTTTGGCTTTGTAGCAGCATAACAATTTATGCTCCTTTTAATACAGCACTGCGTGCTTTGAGCCAGCTGTTTATTAGCCATATGTTTGTGTTGATTTTAAACAGTTGCTATTGCACAGCTTGTTTAGGGATTAAATGTCCTGAATGATCAAAAGTTGCGAATGGAGGGAAAATTATGTGCCTTTGGTGTTGGTTTGAAGTGTGCAACATTCAGATATTAAAAAAAAAAAAAACCAACCCGAACTACAAATTGTTTGATCAAAATTCAAACTGATCATTTCTAGGAAAGAATGCAAAGATTATAAACATGTGGATTGTGTAACAATTTTTCAACTATTGGGGAATATGAAGTTTTGTTCCTTCCAGGGTCAGTTTTTCTGCTTTGTGTGCTGTGAAGAAATTTGGGGTCTGAAGGAATGGGAAATGTTTTGATTTTAATAGATTGTGTGTATACCAGTGTGCGTGTGTGTATTATATATTTACAAATGTATCTTTGGCTTCTCTTCTGTTAGAACTCAATGGGAAAGAGCATATGTTTCTCTAGCAAACATCTGCAGAAGACAATTATTCAGCATTCATATGTGATGACACGATATTTTTTCAGTAACTCATGCCTGGGTGTGGAGGGTTGGTAGAGATGGAGTTGCCGTGTTCTGAAGTTTCAGCAACTCTGTCTTGGCTGATTGCTTCTCAAAAAGCTTGGCTACTAAAGTACAAATGAATTAAAAGCTGAAAACTTCATCTGTTTATACTGTATTCTTTGACTTTCGTTTTTTACTCCTGTTGCATGCACATCCTGGTATGTTTGTTGTCTACCTCCAGGATTGCTGATCTTTGGCTGTAGAATTATTTTGGCATTTTTGATTCCAAATGGCTTCACTTCTCTGGTTTATCTTCATTATCACCATGTTTTTTCCATGTCTGGAAGTGTTCACGGTCAGGGTGGATGGGGCTTTCAGCTATGTGGTCTAGTGGAAGGTGTCCCTGCCCATGGTGGGCGGGTTGAACTAGATGATCTTTAAAGGTTCCTTCCAACCCAAACCATTCTGAGATTCTACCTGTGATTCCTTCTCACTGGAGAAAGGATAAATGATTACTTAAGATTCCCTCTGAGAATTTTGTATGTTTTCCTATGAACTGACCCTGTTGTTTGTTTGAGGGCAGTCACTAATCACTTTGTTGGTATTTAAAATCCTCAACATTTATTATTTATTAAGTAAAATACATTGACAATTTCCTTGAACAATTGAACTTCAAACAAAGCAAAGTTTTTACACAAATAAAGGTGTTTAAATTACAGGAATAACGTGCTAATTTTTAACATCTGATTTAGAAGAACAGTAAAAAGAGGAGAAGGTACGTAGCTCTGAAGGTACTGTGTCCAAAAGTGTTAATATGCAGGCTGATGCAGTAAACCTGTTCCGTTTGCTTCTGATGGCAGTAGTATGACTCTTGATAGTCAGCACAGTTAAGTAGGAGAAACTGCTTTTTATTTTAGAGTTTCTGAAGATGTTAAATACTTGCTGTTAACTTCAATGGAAAGCCTTTTTGCTTTATTTGAGTGTATTTCATATCAAGTGATTTTTTACATTTTTTTTTTTTTTCCCCCAATATAATAATAGGAACTTGGGTCTCATCTCTACATCTGTCAATTTGATCAAATTGCTTCATGGAATACAAATCAAAGAAGAATTGTTACTGACTGGTAAGGCTGTGGATTTTGTTAAATATGTAGCCTGCCCTATATTTTTTTACGTGGGAAGTCTTGTGGTAGTATCATGTCACCTTATTGATGCATTTTTTTCCATAAATAAGCTTAATTGCTTCTTGAATTGCAGTTAAGAATTGTGGGCCTTCTCTTATACTACTTGAAAAAAGAAAAATCTGAGCCCCAAATCTAGTCCAATTGTATTTTTTCTCAACCGTTCCCTGTAGATTGCTATAGGAAAGATATGTGGAAACTTCTTTAAAATTAACCAGGATATTTGAACAGCGAAAAGGAAAAGTTCCTGTAATACCTCCATTCAAAATATGTTCTGCTGTTTTACTGTCTTTTTATTTGATCTTCAAACATAGTGAAATGAAGAAATACTCCTTTTTTTGTTTTGATGACACTTGAAATAATTTACCTGATTCCAGGAAACAAATTTTGTCTGTGAGGTTTTTTTTTAAATTATTTTTTAATTTTCATTTCTGTACTGTGGTTACTGGCCAGTGAGGGTAATATCTGCCAAAAACTAAGTACTGATTTGAGTAGTGTTCACATTTCCTTAATGGATGAGTTTTTTTCTTTTCATGCAGTGAAGAAAAAATCTGACTATGGTATCCTTCCTCCTTAATGGCAGTTATTGCTACTGATTTCTACCAAACTCATTTCACTGGATATTAAGGCATTTTCAGTAATTCTCTTCACAGTCTGCGTTTCCCTGTGTGTGCATGTGGAGCTTGATACAGGGCATTGGACCCCAGTCTTTACCGTCTGTGGTTGCAGAGAGTAGGGAACATTTGGTTTCTCTTGCTACTTCTGTTTCTTTTCACTCCTGTTACTTGGATGAGGTTTTTACTGGGTTCCTGTTGCTGCTTTTCTATCCTTTTGTGAAGGCAAGTGAAACTACTGTCATACAGTAACTTACCCTCAAACACCTTTATGAAGCTGGGAAAGAGCAGTGAAGTCCAGGATACTGTTTTTCCTTTTGCTGCTATATTTGGCTCAAAATGAAGCCTTTCAGGCATGTGATGGTATTATGCTTAAGCCACGTTCACTCCTTCACCGTTGCTGGAATCCTTCTTCCAGGGAAGGATCAGTGATGCTAGCACAGCCCTTCAGCGTGGGAGGATGAGAACTAAACCCTGTGGGTGGCAAAAAGAGGGCTTGCTCAATGACCATAAGGAGGAGGAACTGACAGCACACAGGAGTGACTCTCAAGCTATGTCATAGGGTCAGACAGGGAGGACTGGGAAAAGGCCTGGAGGGCAAGAATGTCCTGCCCCACAGCTGTGAACCCCTTCGTAGACCAGTAAGAGAAAAGGAAAAGCAATGGGGACTCAAATGTTGATTTTATCCAGCCTGACATTGTCCCTGCTGGGGTCCTTGACAGCAGTAGGCTTGAAAGGCTGTCCTGGGGAAGTGGACTTCCCACCTTCAGCTTATTCAAAGCATGAGGAATTACGGTGTGAGAATACCACCTTTCAGGGGTGCCTCCCAGCATCTGCAGGAGAGTGAGCAGGATGTACCGCTTCTTGGTTACATGCATGGCCTGAGGTTTCCCCCTCAGTCTTGTGGCTGCGGACCCCTCCTTGATGGGTTATCCTATGCATGTGTGCTGTTCTGCTACTGGGATCTGAAGAAGCAGCAATGAATGTTACTCAGCAAAAAAGGAAGGAGGGGGTGGAACCCAGTAATTTGATTAACTGCTTCAGACTCCTTTTCCTAGCCAGAGGACGTTGTAAAATCTCTTTTTATCACCGCTGAAAATTAAGGGGGGCATTGACCAGAATGTTTTTAACAGTATTTCAATAAAAAGTGTTTTGTGGCTGTTACTCTACATAGCCATTCAACAAGTGAGTTTGAGTTATAACTAAAATTTGATGTTTTGACCCAGGATAGATGGCTTGTTTGATACTGTATGTAGTATTGATCTCCTTGAGAAACATCTGCGATGAGCATGGCTTAGGTATTCCGTTTATGTTAGTACAACAAAAAAAATTTCTAGACAAGCAAATGTTGCTAATTCCTTGCTGAGTGATCTGATGAACTTTGTTCTAAGTGAAAATCAAGCTAGACCCTAGAGCGCCAGCTCCTTCTACAGGGTATACCTCAGAATTTAACAGTTACGTTCAACTTTGGATTATTAGTCGTACCTTCTAAAGCGAGGCAAATTGCTAAACTGGACTTGGATAGCACTGTTGAAACGAAAGAAACCCATGAAATTAGTAAATATTACTGTGTTAACTATATTTCTGCTTCATGATTCTCCTCCTCATATATCATATAGGAAATCAGGTCACATATTTTGTTCTAGCAGATAATTAGGTGTTAAGTGGAATATTTCAAGCTGTTCATTTGGTTATGTGTCCTGTTTCCTCCTTTAAATGGCTGCTTGGATTTGATGATCCTTCTCGGTGCCTGTTTATATCCTTAAGGTATTTTAAATACCTTCATCGTGCTTCCATAGCAACAAAATACAAGGGTAAAGAGGTAATGCAGACTGAACAACACTAAATAATGTTTCAGTTCATATCCCTGTGAAAAATTCCCAGAGGAATTGTAGGCTAAATAAATTTGAAGGTCCAACATTATCATATTTATGAAGAAGAGAGATTGAAAAATTATTTTAGCCTGATCTGTGGTTTCGCTCTTTTATCCATTGGTAACTGTTAAGACTGGTAAGTCTCTGAATGGTGTAGTAATTTTTGTAGGAAAGTTCAGTGTAGTACAATTTGTAGTAGAGAAAACCAGAAATGAAATAAAGTATATATTCTCTGGCCACTACTGTGACCAGTATGGTGGTTCTAAGGGAGGGGATGAACTGCCTGTTGTAACAATATATTAGTGATCAAAGCGGCAAAAATGGAGGTGTTGTGCAAAGTGGTATGATTAAAGACTGTTGCTAAGATTCATACAATTAAATCCAGAGTCCTTTGCGTCTTCTGTGGGATAAATGCTTTTTTTAAATAGTTTATCTTAGGCCCAAGTGTTATATACATGGTTAATTTGGCTCCTTACTTCAGTATATTTACTGAAACAACTCTACTGCAAGTTTTCACCATATCTTTTTTTTTTTTTTAAAATGCTATAAAAAGTTAGATAAATTGCTGTATGCTTGTAATGTATTTGTCTCAGCCAGCTGTGGAAAAAGCTGCTGTTTTGAGTACATGATGTGCCACTAAGGGAATGGGTCGGAAAACCTGAAGGTGAGTTAGTATGTCTGTCCTGGAATAGCTCTTTAAGGCTTCAGATAGGTTTAAAAATAACCAGTTAATTCATACATATGGCATATAAAGATTGTCCAACCACACCTGCAAGCCAGCCATCACTGTAATAATAATCTTCTATCTCTTTAATACATACATTGAAAGAACATTTTTAGGCTTTTCCTGTATGGTGTTGCTACAGATAGCTGTTTGTCACCACTCTTCCTCCCTTCTTACTTCCCAAGTTAGTTTTAGTTGCATTCCATGGCCTAGTTTCTCTTCTCGTAATTGCATACAATACGTAACAGTAAATTTGTCTTGAGCAATTCATATTTTGTAGTACTTAGAGAACGGAACCTGCTGTAGGGAGTTGCACAGTGAAAGCCAACAGCCAGATGAGTGCAGGGGGTTGATGGGCAATGATGCTAAACAAGTGTTTAACAATTTGTAGCCCTTCTTCTGGGCAGCGTCAAGACTGATTTGTGTCAGGTAAGTCATACATACTTGTAAACGTGTTCTATTTTTTTATTGCTCCAGCAGTCCTCCCTCCTCTCTGCAACAGGTAGAACTTCCCAGTCAAGTAGAGAAAAATTCAAGTGTTACACTTCTTGGACAGTATCTGAAAACTGGACTTCACCTCAGTGTTGTTAAAACTATACACGCTGAAAGTCTAGGAAGTGGGTGATTGTGTAAGGAGGTACTTAACCTTTTAGATTACGGAGCTTGGATATTCCTGGTGGGAAGACAGAGATGATGACAAATGCTGTGCCCCTGTCTCCAGTTCAGAATTAATTTGAATAGGGATTGAAGATGCAGGAACTGTACATACTCATACAGAAATGCTGCATGCAAGAAGGTCCATTACATTTCTTCGTTAACTGATTTGAGACCACAGTCTTCCAACAAATAGCTAATAAGATACTCAGATTCTTACTTTGAGTCTTAGGAAAAAAATTAAATTTCTGCAGAATATAGATTTAATGGCATTTTCATAGTACCCTCTCCACATTTGTTTTGTTTCAGTTATTTTTTTAATTAAAAAAAAAAGACAACAAACAACTCATCATAGCAAGCTTTTTTTTTTTTTCTGCCGTGGGTACAGAGACCAAGAATACTTGCCAGAGGAGCAGGCTGATGAAGCTGCCAGATGAACTTTAACTGAACTTAAAGCAGACCCAGATCTCTTAAGAGCTAAGAAGTAGTTCAGTATGTCAGGGATTGCAGCAGACATAGGAAATATCCTTGTCAGAAGCCCAAGTAGAAAATCTCCTTCACTTCATAGCATGTGTCTTGGTTTGGTGGTGGGGTTGGTTTTTTTTTTTTCCTTTTTCCTATGGCAAATCTTAAGCTTTCCAGCAGAATCTAGCAGACCTTTGGGAAGGTACACTGAGGTTTGTCAAGATGATGGATCTTTAGATTCCAGAGTGTGAGATCTGTATTTAGGATTCATCTCAGAAATCTGGAAAAAGCTTTGTTTCTTCTTAATAAATTGTAGTGAGGGCATGCCTGTTTTGAAGCAAGCTTATGTTCAATAGGCTGTGTCCCATTTGACCCTTTCATTGATTCCCACCCCCACCCCATCCCGGACAGAAGGAGCCTTAATTTTTCTGTTTGTAAATAGATCTTCTCAAACCTTTCACCGCTTCAAAATATTGCCAATGCTGAAGAATGTGCTTTGAATTCCAACATAATTGCTTAAAAAGTATTTATCTGCCAAAATACTTTTCTCTCCTCTAGGATGAAAAGGCATGGAATGCCTGATAGCTGCCCTGTGTAGGACAATTTGTTGTG